CGATTTTCGGCCTGCGGGGGCCCCTACTGGCCCCCCGGGGCCGTCAAAAGACGACTCTGAATGAAAAGCCGGTCCCGGGGGAAGGGTCCAGACCTCTGGGGGTCGACGTTGCGACAACGATCACGACGTCAGGGGTCTGGGAAGGTGGTTGTAGGTCTCGGGCGCGAAGGTTCATGGCGCCAACATCGCAGAGCGCATTTCGTTCGGAAAACGATGGGGTGGGCCCGAGGTGTCCTGGAGAATTTCGTTCCGGATTTCGAGGTGAAGGTCGCGCGTTTTTTTTGTTTGGCCAGGGATGAAGACCGAAAAGAACCCACGCGAAATTCATTTCGTTTTTCGTTCGCCGTTTCCTGGCAGGAATCCACGCAGAGATCCGCTGAGAAGGTCATCGCGTCTCGCGCATCGCGGCTCGGGTCGGGAAGGCGCCTCTCTGCCGGGCGGCGGCGCGGGGGCGCGAAGACAAAGCCGCGGCAACCGCGTGGCGCACCTGGCGCGGAGCTGGGCGTCTCGGGGCGCGGGTTCGCGTCGTGTCGACCAGCGGCGACCCCGGGGCGGGCGGTTCAGGTTGAACGCCGCCTGTGGGCCAGAATCGGCTTCCTCCTGCTCCGCCTCCTCCGCCTGCTCCTCCTCCGCCTGCTTCCTCCTCCTCCTCCTCCTCCTCCTCCTCCTCCTCCTCCACCTCATCCGCCTGCTTCCTCAGCCGCTTCTACTTCGGAGACCCCTCCCCCATACGGTAGGTTCGCGTCGTGTCGACCGGCGGCGACCCCGCCAGCGGCGGTCAACTTTGAACGCCGCGGGCGGCACAGAATCGTTCGGTGTGGAAAGATTTGGACGTTTCGGAAACAGCCGATCGTTCAAGGTTGAACGGTTGAACGATCCCCGCGATGTCAGAAACCAACGCCGAAGTCGGCACGACACGAACCTGACGTACCCCCTTGTGCGCACCGTCGAGATCTTCTCCGCGCCGACGGTGCCGATGCATCGCCGATCCTCCGACCCCATCTGCTCGGACCGCACGTGGAAGGCATACAACAGCTGGGGAAGCCTCCCCCCCTCCCCCATACGGGGGGGGCCTTCGTTCAGGAACGTGCCCATGAGGCTTCAGACCCTGGAGGCTTCCTTATCAGACGAGGGCGGCGGTGATATCCATGGCCATTTCACGAGTTGACATCGGCACGCTTCCAGACCCTGGCTTCCTTACCCAAGGATTCATTACTCCGAGTTTCTTAATAAGCGTAGGGGGGGGGCGTCACCCCCGCAGACAGTCCCACTTCGACCCCCGTCGCGGGCAGCCACCGCGCGCCGAAGGCGCTCCGACCCCCGTCGCGGACGAGGCGAGGTTGACCCCCGTCGGGGGGGCCCCCCCCCACGCTGAAATTCAGGAACCCGGAGCATCCAATGCCCTCACCGTGCCCCCCCGTGCGCGCCACCAACAGGCCCCGCCTTCGCCGGGCGCCGGCCGGAGACCCCGCCAGTCGTCGCCACGGCGCCGCCCGCGCCGCCCCCGCCCGCCGACGCCGCAGGCGCGCTCCGGCGGCCTCTGCCGGGGAGCACCGCGAGAGCGAGAGAGACGTGCGAGAGGAGCGAGGCTCGAGGCTCGAGAGGGGGGGGGGGAGGCACCAGGGCCCCCCGCGCGCTGTGAAGAAAGTCACGTCGGCGAGGTTTTTTTCTACGTTCGGCCTCCCGAGGCCCCTACGTCAGTATCGTTTGACCGATCCCCATCCCCATCCCCATCCCCATGCCCTTCGAGACCCCCCCCCAGATTACCCCCCCATGCTGGGGATACACCCTGCGAAACCCGAAGGGAATGGCTTATGTCCACATCTGGGGGGGTAAGGCGGCCAGTGGGGCCCGGGCCACGCCGCTGGGGAGGGGGGTCGTAGAAACGATGCTCACTGCGGCAGGTTCGCGTCGTGGCGACAGGCGGCGACCCTGCCGCCGGCATTCGACCTCGAACGCCGCCGCCAGCCCAGAATCTGGCGAGGTTGAACGATTTGGCTCACGGCACCCAGGCTACCAATTCAACGACTCTGGCCCCCCATGCCGCCTAAAATCTCGGAAGCAACACTAAGACAGCCCGAGGAAGTCACTGCTGGACCAGATGGCTCCCGCCGGAACATGCTGTGCACAAGTGCCGACGGCAAGTGTCCGTCGCCTGGCCTGCCCCGCCGCCCCGGCCAAAAGCCAGAGGGAGGGGGGGGTCCGTCAGCGTGGCAGTGCGGGCCGCCGCAACTCTTATTCGGACCACAGGGCGGGCCGACAAGAAAAGAGGGTTGAACGATCGGAAGTTTCGGAAATTGAACGGCCGATCTTTGAAGGTCCAATTGTCCACACATAAGAAGTCTACAGGCCTGGAAAGGCTAGTTTGTTGCACTCTGGAAATAAAAGGTGAGGGTAGTTACCGGGCCTCGGGACGGTCGAGCAAAAAAATGATTCTGGATGAAAAAGCGGTCCCGGGGAAAGGTCCAGACCTCTGAGGGTCGATGTTGCGAAAAACATCGAAAACGCGATACAGTGGGTCCGACGATGCAGTGGGGGCCCATGCCAAAAAACACCCTGCTTGCCTCCAGGGTCCCCTGGGTTTCTTGGGTTCCGATGGCTTTGCGACGGAAGGCGTGACGTCCCCACACCAAGAATCGATGAACGCCCTGGGGTCTCGGGGTTGGGTTTCTTGTGGAAGGTTTCTTGTGGTCGGGCCGCCGCTGTGCTGCCGCCACCTCGTTCGGCCAGGTCGTCAGCTCCTCCGCCTCCTCCTCCTCCGCCTCCTCCTCCTCATCCTCCTCCGCCTCTTCCTGGTCGGGCCCCCACCGTAAACCGGGTTCTCGGGCCTGCCTGGCCCCCACGCCTTCCCCCCAGGATCACCAGCGGCGCCTGGCAGCGCGAGGCCAGAGGTTTTTGTTCCGCTCGGTTGCCCCCGGCATATTAAAGATAATGTGTCAAAACATGGTCTGGGAACGATTTAAAACATGTTTTTTTGAATATTTGTTGAATCTGGTTTTGGCCATATTGGTATCTTTCTTCCACGATCGGCCTGTAGGGGGGACATGCCCTGCAGAAGGCCAGCGGGCCATTCCGAGAGAATTGTGGCAGCTGGTGCGATCAGGTCAGGAGGGCTCCGATCCAGAGGGGCGCGTCTGGCGCGTATTTGACCATTCCGATTTCGGGTATTCAGGGAACGCCCATTCAGACAAGTCGTTTCGCTCGACAGTGGCATGCGAGTGTGCCAGTACAGCCCCTGGTCGGTTCCGCTAATCCACGTGCGTTTCGCCAGATGGATTCAGTCGCTCTTGGTTTTGGACGTCGATTAGTGATTCCGCACGGGCGCACTCGGAATGCGGTACCGCGCGCACTCGTGGAGTGCCCCAGCAGCTTTGCTGGGGCTCTCCGGGCGTTTTTGCTAAACTGGGTTCCTCAGGGGCAACGATGGGGGGGATTGGCATAAGGGGGAGACGGGACGGTCCGGGCAGCCCTGGACGCCCCTCGGCGAGGCGCAGCCGCTGGAAGGCACCCCGAGATTCCAAGGCCGCCGAGACCCGACGAAAACGTTTGAAAACCTGGAACATCGAACCCGAGAAAGCCTCCTGCGAAGAGGGGGTTTCCTTCCCAGACATGCGACGTCCTGATTGTTTCAGGACGGCGTCCCTGGAAGTCCCGACCCTTTTCCCGGGACCAGATTTTGCATCCTGAGTCGTTGTTTGACGGTCCTGGGGCCCGGCGAGGGCCCCCAAGGGCAGAAAATCGTGAAAAACGTGCCGTCCTGATTTTTGTTTCGACGCGAGCATGTCTGGGTCAAGTTCTGTCAACCCTCGAGATCTGTGCGGGGGGGAGCTGCTGCCGGTGGGCCCCCCGTCCTGCAGGATGGGGGGTCGGGGCCGGACGCCCAGGCCTGCGACCCAGGCGGGGCCGCGCTCTTGCCCGCAGGCGGCGTGTCTGCCCACGCGACCAGACGGGCGCAAGGCGTAGTGGTGGTGGCCGACGAGGCGGCAACGTTCCCAGACATGCTCGCGTCGTTAAAAAAAGTCAGGACGGCAAGTTGTTCGCTATTTTCGACCCTCGGGGGCCCTCGCCGGGCCCCGGGACCGACAGAAAACGACTCAGGATGAAAAAGCGGTCCCGGGGAAAGGGTCGGGACTTCCAGGGACAAAAAAATCAGGACGTCGCATGTCTGGGCTTGTGGGTCGATAGTTGAAGGCTTCCAGAATCGGCGAGATAGGGGTATAAGGGGGGCCTGAACTCAGGCGTCAGGAGAGGTGGGGAAGTGAGGGCGGGGCCGCAGAGGAAGCTCTGGCGCGACGCAGCCGCTTTTGCTCCAAGCCGCGGCCAGTCCCTGTTCTGTTACGATACGTGATCCTGTCTTAGGACGCAACTCCTGGCAGGTTAAATTCAGCATCGGCGCTGGTGGATCCTTGGTCGAAAACTTGCCCTTTGGCTGGCTTAATCTCGCTCAATCCTGCCCCAACTCCAACTATCGGGCTTAATCGGGTCTACTCCGGCCGAATCTCGGGCTCAATCTTGTCAAATCCAGCTCAAAGGCCCCTTGATCGGGCTGACTGGCCCCTACTCGTTCCGACGAAAACCTCCCAGGCTTAGCTGCCCTGGCACGCACGCGCTGAGACGCGACGCTCACCGTGTTCAGCATGCCTCTCACGCGCGTGCTGGCCGCCTGGCCGACGTTATGGCGAACGTGTCGCGCCAGACTCAGGAGGGGAAAAACACACACAGACACGATGAATCGTCGATCCCCAGGAAAATATTGGAAAATATAGGAAGTGGGGGGGAAGACAAAAACCCAGAAAATATAGGAAAATATGGGGGCAATTTTTATTCGTGTGTATTTGTTTGTGTGTCCTGGGGCCCCTTCACAGACCCACGCGTTCAATCTACGTGTTGAGCTCCGTGTCAACCCGCCACAGGCTGTGTGTTTGCGTCTTGCGGGGCAGCTACGCTCCCAGGAGTTGCCTGCTAACCCTTTTCGGGGCGACAGCACACCCCCGGCAGCGATGCTCGCCCGCGCCGCGGCGCTCGCAGCGGCGCTGTCGCTGAGCGCGGAGGGCCTGGCCCTGCAGTCCCAGCAGCCGGAGCTCGCCCAGGCGGCCCTCGTCTCGCGTCTGGCGTACCGGGGGGGGCAGCGCCAACGGGGGCCGGCCAATCCCCTCCCAGACATGCCCACGTCTTGAGCAAAAACTTGGCGGGAGGTTTTTGGCCGTTTTGGGCCGGGGGCCCTTGCCGGGCCCCGGGACGGTCAGAGAACGACTTGGGATGAAAAATTGGTCCCGGGGAAAGGTCTGAGCTTCCGCACTGTACTATTCAAAATCCAGACATCGCATGTCTGGGCTCTGATCCCCTCCGGAATGACCCGGATTTGGAGGCACCTGAATCCGTCCCCGCCACCCCTCCTGCTGACCCTGGTGCACAGCAACACCGACGATCTGCGATGGATCCAGGCTGCAGCACATACTGCATGGTGGAGGAGACATGAAGCCTCCTGCGCTCCACAGCACTGAACCCCTGAGATCCGACGTAGCGAACAAATTGCAACATCGTAAAAATCCGCGCCTGGAGCCCTGGAGCCCATCTTTCTGCGTCATTATTCGAGCCTGATCGATCTGTGAGGGTCCCGGGACCTGAAGGCGAAAACGCCCGGATTGAAAACATTGAGTCGCCAGGATCTCAGGGCCTCTCTCTCTCTCTCTTTCTCTCCCCTCAGGGAGCAACTCCTAAGAGGTATAGCCTTTCCGTTGGCTGATCCGGCCGAACGGCGCCAGAATCTGGCATTCTTTAGATCCGGCGTTGCAAAAAAATGCAACATCGGACAAACGTCACGACCAGAGCCTTGGCTGGACCCCGTCTCTCTGCAGCTTTCTTCGAGCCAGATCAGTACGTATATGTGAAGGTCCTGGGGCCCGAAACGCAGGAAAATCGGCCGTTGCGACGAAAATGCGACGCCCAGATGTGGGGGTCAGTAGCCCTCCGTCGCCCACGAATGCCTCCCAGGAGTTGCATCCCCCCCCCCTTCTCACCAAGGCTGTCGCCATTCCGCCCGCCATATCGTTTGCGTGCTTTCGGTCGCCTAGTGCCTCAGTGCTGGGTGCCTCCCGCTGCTTCGGGGGGGCGGGCGGGCAGGGTCGTGCACCCTGTTCTTCCCCTGGCTCGGGGGAGAGGAGAGTCAACCGATGATGGGCACATAGACTACGGTGGGGGTGTTCGTTAAGGAATGTGCCTACGAGGCTTCAGGCTTCAGACCCTGAAGGATTCCTTATCCAATGAAGGCGGCGGTGATACCCATGGCCACTCCACCATTGGAGTTTCGCGGGCTTCCAGATCCTGAATTCCTTATCCAGTGGTTCCTTATCCAATGCCTTCACCGCATTGTAGTGTTCAGTCGGGCCTGTCCCTCTACAGGGGGTAGATTCAAAAATAGTCCAAAAATAATATGGGGACTATTTTTCCCCGCATGTTTCGTGGGGTGCTGGTTTTCCTCCCTGCCACGCCGCACCCGCGTCTCACCTCCCTCCCTCCTCCCTCTCACCTCCTCTTCCTCTCTCGGCTCGTCCACGCGCATCACATGCACGGCACGCACATGAGACACGCGTCTACATGCAGCCGCACGCATGCACACACTCGCACACACACACACACACACACACACACACACACCCCAACAACGTCAGTGCACGCCTGGCGTATTCACTGCGTCGCACATCCACGACGTATGCGCCACATACTGGGCACGGCAGGCTCGCGGCAGGCGTGACACTTTCTGGACACCAGAGCGGGTGCGCACGGGTTGCGGTCTCTATGCGTTGCTGGCTCGCAGGGCACGGCGGGCGTGGCACTTTCTCAACACCAGGGTGGGTGCGCAGAGGGTGCGGTCTCTATGCGTTGCAGGCTCGCAGGGCACGGCAGGCGTGGCACGTTCTCTGCATCAGCGGGGGTGCGCAGGGGTTGCGGTCTCTATACGTTGCAGGCGCGCAGGGCACGGCGGGCGTGGCACTTTCTCGACACCCGAGGGGGTGCGCAGGGGGTGCGGTCTCTGTGCGTTGCAGGCGCGCAAGGCACGACAGGTGTGGCACATTCTTGACGTCAGAGGGCGTGCGCAGGGCACGGCGGGCGCGGCATTTTCCCGGCACCAGAAGGGGTGCACAGGGGGTGCGGTCTCTATGCGTTGCAGGCGCGCAAGGCACGACTGGTGTAGTACTTCCTCGACTCCACACATACTTGTATCAGGCTCCCAGTGCGCGGCGGGCGTGCCATTTCTCCTGCGCGATAGGAGCTCGCGCGGGAGTAGAAGTAGTAGTAGTAGTCGTAGTAGTAGTAGTAGTAGTAGTAGTAGTAGTAGTAGTAGTAGTAGCAGCAGTAGTAGTAGTAGTAGTAGTAGTAGACGTAGTAGTAGTAGTAGTAGTAGTAGTAGTAGTAGTAGTAGTAGTAGTAGTAGTAGTAGTAGTAGTAGTAGTAGTAGTAGTAGTAGTAGTAGTAGTAGTAGTAGTAGTAGTAGTAGTAGTAGTAGTAGTAGTAGTAGTAGTAGTAGTAGTAGTAGTAGTAGTAGTAGTAGTAGTAGTAGTAGTAGTAGTAGTAGTAGTAGTAGTAGTAGTAGTAGTAGTAGTAGTAGTAACAGCAGTAGTAGGTCTACTAGTTCTAGTACTAGTACTAGTACTAGTACTAGTAGTAGCAGTAGCCGTAGTAGTAGTAGTAGTAGTAGTAGTAGTAGTAGTAGTAGTAGTAGTCGTAGTAGTAGTAGTAGTAGTAGTAGTAGTAGCAGTAGTAGTAGTAGCAGTGGTAGTAGTAGTAGTAGTAGTAGTAGTCGTAGTAGTAGTCGTAGTCGTAGTAGTAGTAGTAGTAGTAGTAGTAGTAGTAGTAGTAGGAGTAGGAGTAGGAGTAGTAGTAGTAGTAGTAGTAGTAGTAGTAGTAGTAGTAGTAGTAGTAGTAGTAGTAGTAGTAGTAGTAGTAGTAGTAGTAGTAGTAGTAGTAGTAGTAGTAGTAGTAGTAGTAGTAGTAGTAGTAGTAGTAGTAGTAGTAGTAGTAGTAGTAGTAGTAGTAGTAGTAGTAGTAGTAGTAGTAGTAGTAGTAGTAGTAGTAGTAGTAGTAGTAGTAGTAGTAGTAGTAGTAGTAGTAGTAGTAGTAGCAGTAGTAGTAGTAGTAGTAGTAGTAGTAGTAGCAGTAGTAGTAGTAGTAATAGTAGTAGTATCAGTAGTCGTCGTCGTAGTCGTCGTAGTTTTAGTAGCAGTAGCAGTAGCAGTAGCAATAGTAGTACTAGTAGTAGTAGCCGAAGCAGTAGTAGTAGTAGTAGTAGTAGTAGTAGTAGTCGTCGTCGTAGTAATAGTAGTAGTAGTAGTAGTAGCAGTAGTAGTAGTAATCGTAGTAGTAATCGTAGTAGTAGTCGTCGTAGTAGTCGTCGCCGTAGTAGTAGTAGTAGTAGTAGTAGTAGTAGTAGTAGTAGTATGTATCAGTACGACCAGTAGTAGTAGTAGTATGTATCAGTACGACCAGTAGTAGTAGTAGTAGTAGTAGTAGTAGTAGTAGTAGTAGTAGTAGGAGTAGGAGTAGGAGTAGGAGTAGGAGTAGTAGTAGTAGTAGTCGTCGTAGTAGTAGTAGTCGTAGTAGTCGTAGTAGTCGTAGTAGTCGGAGTAGTAGTCGTAGTAGTAGTCGTAGTAGTGATAGCAGTAGTAGTAGTCGTCGTAGTAGTAGTAGCAGCAGTCGTCGTAAAATTCGTAGTAGTACTCACATGGTAAAAAAGTATGTGAAGCTCCTCGGTCGCGTAAGTGTTTTTTCTTTTGTTTTGCAATTTCGGGCTATTTTTTTATTGTGCTAATTTTTCGTCAAAGTCCGCCTGAAGGGGAACATGCCCGACCGAATGGTAGCGTCGCGTCCGACCGACCTCCCACTGCAGGCGGGCGGCGAGCTGGCCGGCGCGGAGGAGGCGAAGGGGGAGTGGCCCTGGGGCCGGCATGCGAAGCGGCCCGTGGAGGAGCAGCAGGCTCGCCGGGAGGGCGTCGGCTGCAGACGCCTGCCCCGAGACCCTGGCGTTGCAGTTTGTTCACAACCCCAGAACCCCTCGAGTAATGTGAACATCACGACGGGAGGTTTTTAAAACAAACAAGCAAATCAGCATTTGGGGTCCCTCGCCAGGCCTCGGGACTGTCAACAAAACAACTCAGGATGGGAACCCGGTCCCGGGGAATGGGTCGAGACCTTTGGGGGTCGACGTTATGGAAAAAATCATGTCGTCGGGGGTCTGGGATCCTAGCGTTGCAATTTCACAACGGGCGTTGTCGCCCAGTTTGGGGCCCGAGGAACCTCACAGAGCGATCGCCTGCTTCAGAAACGACGTAGAGCAAAGGTTGTGGGTGATTCTTCGCGATGTTGCCATTTGTGTGCAACGTCGGATCTCAGGCTGCGCCGGCTTTGCCCGCGCCGGTCATGAATTTGAGATCGGTGCGTGCGTGCGGGTGCCATCTTGTGATCGTTTTTTATTCATTGTTTTGCCGATCGGTGCGGGCCCTCGCACCCCCCCTCTCCCCCCCCTACGGAGTAGCAGGTGGAGTCTCCCTCATAATGGACGCCCTGTTGCAAACAGTCGCACTAAGCAGAGGTCCGGAGCCAGATCCCCCCCCTTCCCCCCCTCTTCGCTCAATGTCGAAACGCCGAATAAGAAAACGCTGACCTTGGCGTTGCACCCCCCTCCTGCTCTGAGGTCGGGGCGCTGCAGCGTTTTTCAGGCCAGGCGCGCTCGCGCCAGGCCTCGGGCCAACCGGACCATCGCAGGTCGAGCCGCCCCGGAAAATGCAGCGGAACAACGGGGTCCAGGACTCCCGTCGTGAGTTGCTGCGACGGTGGGTGTTCTCGCAACGTCGGATCTCAGGGTGCGCATGCCGTTCGGCCTTCCTGCTCTGGTGCCACCTTTTCGCGTGTTTCTCGTGCGTTCCAGAGCTCAAGTGTCGCTCCACAGAGATCACCACCCACCAAACCACCCCAACCTAACCCGAAGGCCTCAATTTGCCCTCCATTTCCAGTGGGGGGGGGGGGGTCGGGGAACATCGAGAAAACACATATTGAACCCGTACCCCCCCCAACCCGAGATTCGAGTCTTCGGGTTGGGTTGGGGTGGCCTGGGAGGTAGTCAAGAGAGGCCAGGTCTCTTCGGGGGTGGGAGAGCGAGCTTTTCTTCCCCGACGTCCCTGGGGCACCCGTCCGGAGTTCTGGGGGCGCGGGCACCCTGCGAGGTCCAACAAGGTCGGCCGAGAATAGTTCCTGCGCCCGGGATTCCGTAGAGCGAGATTCCCTGCTCCAGGTTTCGTCATAAGGGGAGGGGGGTCTCATCTCGGGGGGGGGTCTCTTCCAGGCTATCCTGGAGGGCCTGGGGGGGGGGGTCTGGGGGCGATGTCTTGGAGGGTTCTCCCACGGGGGGGGTCTGAAGTGGCTTGTCTTGGAGGGTCCAGACCCCCTCCCTTTTATTACGAAATCTGGAGTAACAAGTGCATTTGCTGTGTATCGAGGGCCCATCGCCGATCGATCGGCGATGAATCGCCGACTCCAAGTCAATTTGCCCCTCCCACCCTGAGCCAGTCCCCCTCCGTAGGTCCCCCCTCAGCACGGCGGTCACACCGAACAAAAAACTGGCCTGCTCATGGGCGGCCCACGATACTGTAGCGTGATATTGCCTCCGATGGGGCCGCAGAGTCTCGGGGCGCCCTGAGAAGCCCAGAGTCGACGAAGGATGAGCCCCTGGACTTCCCAGAGCAGCGTTCAAGTGGATTGCACCACTCCGCCGACCCCAAGCGGAGTAGAGACGTTCAGGGCGTTCGGTCGGTCACTGGGAGCTGGAGTGGCTGGGTGTTTGTCCACGCCCGCAAGGGTGGAGGAGGAGGAGGAATGGTAGGAGCAGGAGTAGGAGTGGGAGAAGGGTTCTGATGAGGAAGAGGAGGAGGAGGAGGAGGAGGAGGAGGAAGAGGAGGAGAAAGAGGGTCAAGAGGAGGAGGAGGAGGAGGAGGAGGAGGAGGAAGAGGGTCAAGAGGAGGAGGGTGCCCGCTGTATAGCCGCTTGCCCTGCCGCAGGCGCCCGCGCCCGCGCAGAACCGCGTGGCCGTGCTGGTCTCGGGTTCCGTCGAGCGCCTGCTGCTCTCGCCGCTCCTCACGAACGTCGTGCGCCCCAACGCCCTGAAGGGCCTCCAGGCGGTCCCGCCGGGGGGACGGGCCCCAGAGGCAGAGAAGGTACGGTGACCGCTCGCCCTTCTCTCGTTCGTCGCTTCTCTGGGCATCTTGGGAGGCCCTCGTCGCCACGGCTAGAATTGCCTCGAGATTTTTGGTCCGAACGCACCCCCAGAGAGGTCCGGGCAGTAGCGGTACTGGTATATCTGCCGGTTGCCCCAGGGCTCGCCAGGACGCGGGCGTTGCCGGCCCATGCCCCGTCCCGCTCTGCTAAGCCGTGCAGGACCGATGTCCAGGCGAGGTGCACTGGCCTTAAGTCGGACATGTCCCTCTAAAGGAGGAATCATTAAAATAGACAAAGGATAATATGGGGACGTTTTTTCGGCTGTGTCTGACTATTTGGGGACATGCATATGTTTTAATAATACGTCCACAATCCGCTTGTAGGAGGACATGCCCGACCTAACATTGGCCACGTTTCCGGTGGAGCATGGAATGGGATCAGGGATTGAGGACGCCGTCATGCCCCACGAAGAGGGAGACGGAGAAGGAGTCGGAGGAGGAAGGGCTCGGGGAGGGGGAGGGAGGGATGGAGCAGAGACGAGGAGGAACAGGCGGATGAGGAAGAGGAGGAGGAGGAGGAGGAGGAGGAGCAGATTGGCCAGAGACCTATTGGATGCTTCTCAGAGTCTCTTCGGATGTCCCTTGAAAGTTTTGGGGGGTCCTTTGGAGCGTCTTGGGGGATTCTTCGCGGTCCCGGGGCCTCCTAGAGCGTTTTGGGTGCCTCGGGGGACCTTGGGGGTCTCTTGGGAGCCTCTTGAGGGTCTCTCATGAGCCTCTTGGGGACCTCTTGGGGGCCTCTTGGGCGTCTCTTGGGATACTCTTGGGGCACTTGGGAGCGTTAGGGGCCATCTTGGAGGAGTTGGATCACAGAAGGGGGTCCCGTATTAGCCCCCCCGTCAGGAGGCCGACATGGGGCCCACATTGAGGCAATCTCAATGATGTTTGCCGCCTCGCCGAGGCCATCTTGGACGCTCCAACCGGTCGCGAAAGCCTCCGTCCAGGTCCACGGGGAGGGACCAGGAGAGGGTCAAACCCCTCCCCGAAGAGGAAGAAGAGGGTTGGAATAAGAATCGCGCGAATCCACTCACGCCCGAACGAGCTCGTGGGATTTATGTTACCCTGCAAATCGGCTAGCACTATATTGTGCAACATCGTACTATCGAAGACGCCTTCGGCGAATCACCGCCGCCCCCTGCTCCTTGAAATCGTCCATGTGGCCGAGCATTGTGGCAAGAGCTCTGCCACGCTATCGGACGATGTGTTCCCCCAACCGTTGTGGAAGCCTTTCGGGGAACACTTGGGGGAGGATGGCGGGGAAGATCAGGAGGAGGAGGAGGAGAATTAGCAGGAGGAGGAGAAGGAGGAGAGGAGGAGTAGGAGGAGGAGGAAGAGGAGGAGGAGATCTTGGGAGCCTCTGGGGGCACTCTTGGGGCCTCCTGGGAGCTTCCTGGGAGCCTTTTGGAGGCATCTTCGGGGCCTCCTTAGACCTCTTTGGGCCTTTGGGGGCTTCTCGGGGACCTCTTTGGCCGTCTCAGGGCTTTCCTGGCCCGTCTGACGCCGTCGGAAGCCGCGTAGGGGGCCTCTCTGAGCAGACTTGAAACCCTCCTGGGGTGTTCCAGTGCCGTCTTGGAGACCATCTTGGGCGTCTTGGAGGCCTTTGGAGCCGTCTGGGGGCTCTTGGGCCGTTCTGGGACCATCCTGGAGGCATCTTGGGCGATCTTTGGGGGGATCTTGGGCCGTCTCGGGCCGTCGGAATGCCGAAAAGCAGCATGCTAAAACCCGTCAACAACCCAAGGCAAATCCATGAGTTTGGCCTCTTCGGGCCTTCCTGGATGCCCTCTTGGAGGCCTCCTGGGCCGTGTTGGAGACCTCGTGGGGCCTCTTGGGCCGTCTTGGGCCATCGTAGAACCATCTTGGGCCGTCGTGGTGGGCTCCTGGCCCGTCTGACGCCGTAGGGAACTATCTTGGGGGGCTCTCTGGGCCGACTTGGGGCCCTCTTGGGGTGCTCCAGGGCCGTCATGGAGCCCATCCTGCGCTTGTTCGAGGCCTCTTGGGCAGTAGCTTGGAAACCTCTTGGACGATCTTTGGGGGCTCTTGGGCCGTCTCGGGCCGTCGGAGGGCCGAAAAGAAGCAAATGCCACAATCCTTCAAAAACCTCAGGGGAATCAATGGTGTTGGCCTCGTCATTCCTGGAGGTCCTTTTGGAGGCCTCTTGAGCCGTCTTGGAGACACCCTGGAGGCCTCTTGGGCCGTCTTGGACCATGTTGGAGGCTTCCTGGGCGGACTTGGAGGCATCTTGGACCTTCTTGGGCCGCCTTGGAGGCCATAAGTGACAATCTTGGGCGAACTTAGAGGTCGGGCCATCTGAGCCGTCTTAGAAGCCATCGTGGGTCATCTTGCAACGGGCCAGGCATTGACATATACATGTTGCGGTCCATTCTGGGTGGCCAGCGGGACGGGCCGAAGCCCCAGGGTTTTTTTTGAAAAAGAGCCAAAACCAACAACCGTAGGATCTAGCACGCAAGGCACTCCTGTGACAAGCACAGGGGACGGCGGATCGAAGACGCCTACGGCGAATCACCGCCGCCCCCTGCCTTTTTGGAAGCGCCTATGTGGCCGAACGTTGAGGCCAGACCTGCCAAGCTATCGGACCACGTGTTCCCCGAATCGGTTTGGAAAGCCTTCGGGGAACACGTGGGCATCTTGAAGGTCATCTTGGCCGTCTTGGAGGCCTCTTGGGCAAGCTTTGGGCGATCTTTGGGGCTTTTTGGGCCGTCTCGGGCCAGCTTCGAGCCAACTTCGGCCATCTTGGTGGGTTCCTGGCACGTCTGAAGCCGTCGGAAGCCGTTTGGGGGGCCTCTATGGGCCGACTTGGGGCCCGCTTGGAATGCTCCAGGGCCGTCTTGGAGGCCATCTTGGGCGTCTGGGAGGCCATCTTGGGCGTGTTGGAGGCCTCTTGGGCCCTCTTGGGGCCCTCTAGGGGCCATCTTGGAGGCCACTTGGGCCATCATGGGGCTCTCTTGGGGGCCTCTTGGGCGATCTTGGGGGCTTCTTGGGCCGTCTTGAGCCGTCGGAGAGCCGAAAAGGCGCAAATGCCAAAATCCTTCAAAAACCAATGGAAAATCAATGATTTTGGCCTCTTCGGACTCTCCTGGAGGACCTCTTGGAGGCCTCTTGGGCCGTCTGGGAGGCCTCTGGGGGGCCTCTTGGGCCGTCTTGGACTCTCTTGGGCCGTTTTGGAGGCCGTCTTGGACCATCTCGGGCGAACTTGGAGGCCATCTTGGGCCATCTTCGCGATTTTTTGAGGATGTCCCGAGCGAAACGGCCGTTTTTGGGCATTGAGAGATGGGTTTTCCGAAAATTGCGGGTGGCCGGCGGGACGGGCCGAAGCCCACTGGGGAGTTCTTTTAGAAAAAGAACCAAAACCAAAACCTGAATCATCCAGCACGCCGTGCACCCCTGCAAGCAGGGGGCGGCGGATCTAGTGGCCGTCGGCCCGTCCAGCCACCGCGCCTGGGTTGTGGCTCAGCGTCATCATGGATGTCTCTTGGGATCTCGTCGTAGGGCTCTCGGTGGCCTCTGGGGGGCAAATTTTGACGCCTGCTGGCAGCCTCTTGGGGTCCTCTTGGGAGCCTCCTGGGGGCCCCTTGGGGGCATCTTGAGGACCTCTTGGGGCGGAGAGCTCGAATGTCGGTTCGTGTTCCCCCTCCGAGACCCCTCTCGGGGCATTATTGAGGCCCTCTTGAGCCATCTTGGATGCCTCTTGGGCCATCTTGGGGGCCTCTTGGGCCATCTGCCATCTCGGCACAATCTTTGGGGACTCTTGGTCCGTCTCGGGGTCATCGTGGGGGCCGCTTGGGGCTCCTTGGAACGTCGGGTCGGGAGCCCGAAAAGATGGAAACTTTGAAATCCTCCAAACACCTAAGGAAAATGTGCGATCGTTTGTTAATCATTGTTTTGCCGATCGGCGCAGGCCCCAACCCACCCTTCCCCCCCCCTCTGGAGTAGATCTTGGCTGTTTTGGGCGCCTGTTTCGAGCAGGTGGAGCCTCCCCCAGAATGGACGCACTGCTGCAAACAGTCGCACCAAGCAGAGGTCCAGAGCCAGACCCCCCCCCCTCCCGCCCCCTTCCGCCCCATGTCGAAACGCCGCATGACAACACGCTCGCAATCACTGGTGTCTGCCTCTTGGTGCCTTCTTTTGGGAGCGCTCTCTTGGGAGGCCTCGAGGGGGCGGCCGGAGGCATCTTTAGGGACACCCTCGGAGGGTTTTCCGGGAGGCCGTGCGTGGGCGCGCACGGCATCCTGAGGACCGACGGGAGCCACCTCACAACTCGCGGGGGCAAGCCCGGAAGACCCCAACCGATCATGCTCTTGCCCGTTGTTTCGCCTATCGGCGCGGGCCCTCGCACCCCCCCCCTCTCCCCCCCCCTGGAGTAGATCTTGGCTGCTTGGGGCGCCTGTTTCGAGCGGGGGGGAGCCGCCCCCGTCATGGACGCACCCGCGCAGAGAGGCGCACGAAGCAGAGGTCCAGAGCCAGACCCCCCCCCCCTCCCGCCCCCTTCCGCCCCATGTCGAAACGCCGCATGACAACACGCTCGCAATCACTGGTGTCTGCCTCTTGGTGCCTTCTTTTGGGAGCGCTCTCCGAAACGTCGAATAAAAAGACGCTCACGAGCCCGGAAGACCCCAGGACGGCCCTGGACTCCGGAGAGTTCTGGGCCCTCGCGAGAGCACGGCTTCGGCTGCCGCGGCAGCACTGCTGCGAGAGGAGGAGGAGGAGGAGGAGGAGGAGGAGGAGGAGGAGGAGGAGGAGGAGGAGGAGGAGGAGGAGGAGAGGAGGAGGAGGAGGAGGAGGAGGAGGAGGAGGAGGAGGAGGGAGGAGAGGGAGGAGGAGGGAGGAGGAGGGAGGAGGAGGAGGAGGAGGGAGGCGGAGGGAGGAGGAGGGAGGAGGAGGGAGGAGGAGGAGGAGGAGGAGGAGGAGGAGGAGGAGGAGGAGGAGGAGCCTTGGGGCGCTTTACGTCGTGCCGGACGCACGGTGGCGGACGTGCCGTTGGGTCACCCTGTCGCATCGGTTTTTGTCCACGCTGTTCTCCTCTCTGCCAGGTTGGCGCCTCCCGTGAATCTCGGGCCGGACGAAGGGGGGGGATTGGGAAAGGGGGGGTTACGAAATCTGCTGCGTGCAGCTAGTTTCGGCCCCACCGAGGGGCCCATGCCTCGATGCATAGCTGCCTCTGGCGCCGGGAGGCGCCAGGAAAATCAGCTAGGTGAGCTGATTCTCAGACCCCCCCTTTGCGATCCCCCCCTTTCGCCCGGCCCGAGAAGCCCCCGCGCTGCCGCGCAGGAATCAACAGCTCCAATGCCTGTTCCCAGTGTTGACATGAAGCTCCGCTACAGCCAAGCTCGGGAACTACAACCCGCGGGGGTGTTCAGTTGGTTTCTCTGTTTGAGATTGCGCAAGCCGTCGACGAAGGCAGATGGTGGATATGGGGAGACCTTCACTCGGAGTTTGATAGACCTCCTACCCTGACACGTCGATTAGCGAATTGGCCGTTTTCGGTTCGCGAGAGGGCGTCGCGGCCGTCATTTCTGCGGGTCCAGGTCCGTCGGTTTCGGTCCTAGGCCGTTTTCACTAAAGGGAGGTTTACTAAAGGGAGGTTTGTCCACCGCCGATCCATTGTGTCAGGTGCACCTCTGCTTGCCTCCAGGGTGCCCTGGGTTTCTTGGGTTTCGACGGTTTCGCGATGGGAAGCGTGACGTTCCCACACCACGAATCAATGGACGTCCTGCGGTCTCAGGGTTGGGTTTCTTGTGAAGGTTTCTTGTGGACGGGCCTCCACTGTATGGGGAGTCCTTCCTTGTGTCAGGTGGACCTGTTCTTCCGGCTGACGGCGCCCACGAAGTTCACGAAGGGCGCCCTCAGCAAGCTCTCCGGGAGCAGCGACCCGAAGATCGCGACCCTGCTGCAGGACAGTCCTAAGTCGGGCCTGTCCCTCTACAGGAGGAGAAGGAAGAGGAGGAGGAGGAGGAGGAGGAGGAGGCTGTCCCTCTACAGGAGGAGAATTCAAAAGTAGTCCAACAATAATCGGGAGACGATGGTTTGATTATTTCTGGCTATGTTTGAATATGTGTGTTGTATCTTCTATCTTTCGTCCAAACATCCGCTTGTAGGGGGACATGCCCGACCTAAGGATAGCCCTCTTCGGCCTGCTCCTCTTCGCCTGCCCGCCCCCCCTGCCATTCTCCTGAGTCCTCCCCTTCCTCCCTGTCGGCCTCCTCCTATTCCTCCTCATTTTCCTCCTCCCCTCTCTTCAACGAGCCCTTTCTCCTTATGTCCTCCTTATGTCCTCCTTATGTCCTTATGTTCCTCCTTATGTTCCTCCTCCACCTCCTCCTCCTTATGTTCCTTCTTATTTTCCTCCTCCCAGACCGCGGATGAAACGAGCTTCAACTCCACGGTGATGGACTTCATCTGCACGTACGCTGAGTCGCATCTGGCCGCCAGCTGCCAGTGGGACCTCGAGACGAGCGACGCGCTGTCCTTGCCCCCCGACCTGACCCATCGCCAGATCATGACTCAAACCAGCCCGCTTGACACCACTGAGGGCAAGGAGGCCATCACCAGGTGAGCAGATACGGTCAAGACTTTGATAAGATAGCCCAGTCCGCTATGCAGGGGGCATGAAGGGGCTCGACCTTCCTGCGGCCATTGCGTCGGCATTCCTTCGGGGGCCTCGTTCGCGAACAGGGTTTTCTCAAGGCATGACGTGGCTGTGCCCAAACGACACGGCGCAAGGCGTCCAAAAGCATATTTGCCCGCCCGAACGTCAATGGAAGTGGCCGACATCCGTGGTGTGCATAGGCGTGATGCACATTTGTGCGCGAGGCAGTTGGCCGACATCCGTGGTGCGCAAAGGTGTGCGAGATCTTGTGTTGTGCGTGCGCAGGCGGCGTCTCGCGTGCGGCTGCACGTGCAGGTGTGGTGGAAGCTGTGAGCTTGTTTGTTTGCGCGCCATTGTGCGCGCGTGTGTGTGTGTGATGTGTAGACTTGCGTGCGGTATAGCGCACAGATGGGTGCGTGCGGGTTGATATGTATCTATGTGTGTTGGTGGGTGGCCTGAGTGCTCGTGTGTTGTGTGTGTTGTGCGTGTGTGAGTGTGTGTGTGTGGGCGTGTGCGCACCCATCAGAGGATCGGTCAGCCGACCCCGAAGGGCAAAGTGACTGCTCTCCGCGAGACGAATCAGCACCACTTGGGCACCGAAGCGCTTTGGCCCGCGGACCGAAGGCAGACGCGGCCTACGCATACGCTAACGGCGCCGGGGCCACTCAGGGCCCGAGCCCGAGACGCCAGAGGAGCAAGCCTGGTCGCAGGACCAAGGACCCAACCCCCGCCTCCCAACAGGGCCGCCAGACGCCCCACGCCCAGCGGCCGACAAGGCCAGGCAGAGAGGCCCTCAAGGGCACACCCATCAAGCGCGGGGCACCAACGAGGCGCCCACGGGCGGGCACCATGCGAAAGCCCGAAATACCCAGCCAATTACTCGAGAAGAACAAGTAAGAGCTCACACGTGCACGCATTGTCCGGGGAATAGCGACAAGGAGAGCACAAGAGGATCGAAATGAAGAAGGGGAATGAATGAGTTATGGGTGTTGCCCGTATGTATACTCGCAGGTTGTATAGTGGTGCAGTGTTGCGCAACTGCACAGTTATATCTATGTATACTTGTGTATATATATGTATACAGATATGTCTGTATACATCGATATATACAGTTGTACAAGTTTAAAGACAGAGCATTGTATTGCTCAGGCCATCCGAGGGGAAGTCATCTGTAGCCTGGTATTTGTGTGGTGTGCGTGTGTTGTCGTGTGGGTGCGCAGTCAACATGTGGATTGGTTGTGCATCCTTCTTCTGCATGTGATGATACAGGTGGCGTTCTTTGTCTCGGTTGTGGACTGCGGCGCGCGCCAAAGCCAAGGAGATGCAGGAGCCCTACACAGCCGTCCTGGCGACGCGCGAGGACGACTATTGGTTGGCACCCCGCCTCATCAACATCCAGGATTTCCAGCTGGACTCCATGAAGATGTCGGTGACCCCCTGCCTCCACTCCTCAGGCGTCCACGAGAAGACCGTGATCATGGGCCACGACGCCGCAGACGTGATGCTGCGCATCTACCAGGCTTCAGTCGGGCCTGTCCCCCTGCAGGAGGAATATTCAAACATGGCCAAGGACGAGTCAGGGGACGATGTTTCGACTATTTGTTTGACGGGTTTCGGCCATTTGCTGACCATTGTTTGGTTTTTCGTCCTGACTCCGCCTGTAGGGGGACGTGCCCGACCCAATAACAGGCGTGGCAGAAGGGCGACATGAGGCTGGAGGGCACTCGCACGGCCGAGGAGGCTCCTCCTCTGCCTCGTCACCACCCCCCTCCTCCTCCCTCCCTCCCTCCTTCCTCCTCCCCCTCCCCCTCCTCCTACTCCTCCTCCTCTTCCCCCTCCTCCTCCTCCTCCTCCTCCTCCTCCCTCCTCCCCTCCTCCCTCCTCCTCCTCATCTCCTCCTCCTCCTCCTCCTCCTCTCCTCCTCCTCCTCCTCCTCCTCCTCCTCCATCTTCCCCTCCATCTCCATCTCCATCTCCTCCTCCTCCATCTTCTCTTCCCCTCCTCCTCCTCCTCCTCCTCCTCCTCCTCCCTCCTTCTCCATCTTCCCCTCCCCTCCTCCTCCTCCTCTTCTCCTCCTCCTCCTCCTCCTCCTCCTCCTCCTCCTCCTCCTCCTCCTCTTCATCACCATCCCCTCCTCTGGGTATATTCCCCAATCGGTGCTTGCACGGCAGGGGTCCTAGCGGAAATTGAAAGAGTTGGCGAAAGTTTCCCGCCGATTTTTGTTGCCGGTTGGGTTCCCAGTTCCGGGTTTCCGGGCCCCTGGTTATTGGTTCTGGGCCGATTTCGGTGGGTTCCAGGTTCTCGGGTTCCCGATCGATTTCTTCTGGTGTAATGCATTTTGCCATCCCCCTCCTCATCCTCCCGCCTGAGGCTTGGTTCCGGCTCGCCACGGAGTCCGAGCTCAACATGAAGCCCGAGCCAATGAACGCAGCATCGGCATCGTACACGCACAGCGGATTGCCGTGCTTCCAGGAAGGCACCTTCAACTTGAAGCAGGACGAGGACTACGAGCAGTGTTTTGCCGAGAGCGCTGAGGACTCCCCTATCACGGACCTCTTCAGGACATTCAGTTGCGAGACAATGAGCCCGGATTCAATTCGTTTTGCGGCGGCAGCACGTCCAGAAAATTAAGGAGAGATGCCCCGAAACAGTTTCCAGAAGTACGAGCAGGTACAGGAGGAGGAGGAGGAGGCGGAGGAGGAGGAGGAGAGTGAGGGATCACCTGAATGCACCCAGCCACATGTGTCCTGCCAAGACATTATGCTGACTAGGCAGTCGAGGGCCGCCAGAGCTGTCGACACCTGGACGTGCGAGGTGTCGGCCCACGGGCGAAAGAAATCCATGTCCTTGGGAAGAACCCAACCATATGCAGTTGTGAGTACTGTCGTTGCGGCTATCGCCTTCGGAGGATCTCTTCATGGGGCCATGAATCATGCGAAGGGCGTGCCGATATGGGGCGGGGCCGCCATGTTGGCGCTGCCACTGGGGCGACGAAATGTGTGAGGGGTGCGCCGCAATTTGGCAGGGCCGCTACTGAGGCCTTCGGTGGAGCTCCTTTCGGGCCGTGAAACGTTGTACAGGTTGGGGGAACCGCATGCGGACACCGCCACAGGCCTTCGGTGGAGCTCCCTATGGGGCCACGAGTGGAGCTCCCTATGGGGCCACGAAGCGCTGTATTGGGAAGGGGAACCGCTGGCGGACACGGCCACTGTCGGTGAAGCTCCCTGTGGGGCCACGAAGCGCTGTGCTGAGAGGGGGCACCACATGCGGACACCGCCACTGAGGCCTTCGGTGGACCTTCTGGGGCCACGAAACGCTGTACTGGGGGGGGGAACCGCATGCGGACACCGCCACTGAGGCCTTCAGTGGAGCTCCTTATGGTGCCACGAAACTGTGTACTGGGTGGGGGAAACGCATGCGGACACCGTCACTGAGGGCTTCGGTGGGGCGTCTCATGGGTCCATGAAACGTTGTACTGGGTGGGGGAACCGCATGCAGACACCGTCACTGAGGCCTTCAGTGAGCTCCCCATGAGGCCACGAAGCGTTGTACTGGGCGGGGGGAACCGCATGCGGACACCGCCTCTGGGTCCTTCGGAGGAGCTCCTCATAGGGGCCACGAAGCATTGTACTGGTTGGGGGAACCGCATGGGACACAGCAACTGAGGTCTTCGTTGGAGCCCCCCTATGGGGCCACAAAACGCTGCACACAGTGGGGCAACTGCATGCGGACACCGCCACTGAGTCCTTCAGTGTAGCTCCTGATGACACCACGAAGCGTTCATGTTGGGTGGGGGGGCCGCATGCGAACACTGCCACTGAGGCTGTTGGTGGAGTTCCCTATGGGGCCACGAAGCGCTGTACTGGGTGGGGGAACGGTATTCAGACACCGCCACGGAAGCCTTCGATGGAGCTCCCTATGGGGGGGGGGGCACAAAACGTTGTACTGGGTGGGGGAACCGCATGCAGACACCGCCACTGAGACCTTCGGTGGAACTCCCTATGGGGGCACGAAGCGTTGCACTGGGTGGGGGGGCGCATGCGGGCAGCGCCACTGAGGCCTCCCGTGGGGCTCCCCATGGGGTCACGAATCACTGCAATGGGTGGGGGAACCGCATGCGGGCACCGCAACTGAGGCTGTCAGTGGAGCCCCCCTCTGGGGCCACACACAGCTGTAGTGGGTGGGGGAACTGCATGCGGACAGTGCCGCTGAGGGTTTCGGTGGGGCTCTTATGGAACCACGAAGCGTTGCACTGGATGGGTGCATCGCATGCGGACACCGCCACTGAGGCCTTCGGTGGAGCTCCCGATGGAGCCACTGAACGTGTGAGGGTTGCTCCGAAATGGGATACGGAGGGCAGAGGAAGGGATGGGAGGAGGGGGAGGGAGTGGCGGAGGAAGGAGGATGGGAGACGCGGGGCGCTGTCTGTCCAAAACGAGGACCCAACAACACAGGATGGTCGGGGAAACCAAGCGATTCTCGCGAGACATCCTCAACACATCGTCATGTGAGACATCCGCCTGGGCGACCTGATCATCTGAAAACGAACGCGTCGCCCGAGACATCCTCAACAGATCCTCGCGTTAGCTGACCGCCTGAACGACCTGAGGCGCTTCTTCAAAGCAAGCGTTCCGCTCGAGACATACTCGAACATTATGCGCGCAGGACCCGCCAGCATCGCGCGGGCACGCATGGCATGAATGCTGACACATCTTCTTGTAGATGCTTTGCGGTTTTGATTCATTGGTTTGTCGATCGGCGCGGGCCTTCGCAGGCCTCCCCACATAGAGTAGACCGTGGCTGTGTTTGACGACCGTTTCAAGCAGGTGGAATAAGCAGGGGGCGCCTCTCCCCAAAGGATTTCCCATGGGAGCACTGTCCCAAACAGCCGCACTGAGCAGAGGTTGAAGCCGACCCCCCCCCCTTTCGCTCAATGTCGGAACGCCGAGCGAGAAAGCGTGCACATGCCTCAGGGCAGACGTCGAGAATTCTGGGACCCAGGATTGTCGTGCCACTCCCCCCGTGCGGTGAGATGGCGCATGTGGAGGGGCCAAGCAGGGATTCGCCATGGCGCACTCGACATGAGACCTCCAGACCTGGCCTGCCAAAGTCATCCCAGCACAGATGGTATTCCCCCTCAAGGTCCTTCTCCCAGACCCTCTCGGGCCATGAAACAAGCACGATCGAACCACCCACAAACCCGCAAAGTGATTTAGACCTGCGGGGCATGGGAACGTTCCCGAGCATCTCAATTGGGCGGTGGGCAGTGCCAATGCTGAAGATATCAACAGTGATGATATTCTGCCATGGGCAGTGTTATGCTGCTCTACAATGTGCCGGGCCGCATTCTGACGTGCCAGGGACGCGCCACGGAATGTGCCAATGGAAGTGCCAGGGGATGCGCCAGGGGACATGCTGCGCTGCATCGTGCCGTGCGCTATGGATTGCATTGTGGGTCAAGCCGCGCTTGGCGTCAGAATCCTGACCGAAGTGATTTGGATATTGAGCTAGAGCTGTCTGAACGCGTAGCTCGGGTTAATTGCAGTCGAAACGCGCGGGTCGTTCGACCAGCTCGAGCCCAAGATCCGAGTCAGTTCCGCAGCCCTCGCTCGAGACACCCAGACATAGAGCCAGGCGGCCACATGCTGGTTATCACCTTGTGTAGTTTGGACGCGTGACGACGTGGTTCCAGCTCGGGACAACCATGCTCGATACCCCCCCATTGGGGCGTCCTGGACATTTGAAAACACATGATTCCAGCTCGGGGCAGCCATGCTAGATACCGCCCTAGGTGGCCCGCACACATGACAACTCGTGGTCCCAGCTCGGGGCCACCATGTTAGATATCCACCTGGGTGGCCTGGACACGTCAACAAAGCACGTGGCTCCAGTTCGGGACCACCGTGTTCGATACCCCAGCTGGAAACCTGGAAATCACCCGCCGAAGGACTTGTGTCGGGCTGTTACGCGTCTGGCGTCGCTGTACTCATGTGGTCTGGCTTTTGTGGGCCCCCAACGTTGGGGGAGCACCCAAACGACCACCTATGATCCTGGCATCGCTCGGACGTGTGAATGTTTTCTCGGCGAGGGCGATCGAGGAGCATCCTTGATCATGTGGCGAAAAAACGCGCACGACACCGAAACAAAAGCACAGGGAAGGGACGCCCGAGCGATGCCAGGTGAGATTTCCCCCCCGCGGGTGGCCCGCACACGTAGAACAACGCGCGTGGTCTTGGTGGGCGCGACGGGGGCCCCGTGCCGCCCCGGAGCGCGGCGGGCGTGGACACTGCAGGGGGCCCACGTGGCCCCCGAGCGGGCCGGGCGTGGCGCCTCGCGGGTGCCTGTCGCCCCAGAGCGCGGAAGGGCGTGACACTGCACGCGGGGCCCTTTTTTGTTCGCCCCAGAGCGAAGCGAGCACGAAGCCACACGTGGCTCCTTTTCCTCCTCCTCCTCCTCCTCCTCCTCCTCCTCCCCCTCCTCCTCCTCACCCTCCTCCTCCTCCTCCTCCTCCTCCTCCTCCTCCTCCTCCTCCTCCTCCTCCTCCTCCTCCTCCTCCTCCCTCCTCCTCCTCCTCCTCCTCCTCCTCCTCCTCCTCCTCCCCCTCCTCCTCCTCCTTTCGCCCCAGAGAGCAACGAGCGTGGAAACGCGGAGAGGCCCTCGAGGAAGCCCCGGGAGGCCTCCCCAGAGCCCCACGACGGCACGTGGTGGCAAGCGATCATGCACCCAGTGCCGATTCGTCGAGTTTGCTCACACTTGGAAGTGAGGGGGGGACCGCCCCTGGGTGGCCAGGGCGCGTGACAACGCGCGGGTAATTTCCGATCCAGGGCGGAACAAGTGTGAAGTCACTGGGGCTCCTGTCGCCCCAGAGCGCAGCACAAGTGAAAACACGTGGGTGTCTGTCGCCCCAGAGCAGAGGAAGCGACGTGTTTTCACCGTTGCTCCGCCCTGAGGAGAATGGGCCCCGCGTGATTTCATGCTTGCTGCGCCCTCAGGTGGAAGGGACCCATGTGCTTTCACGCATGTTCCCCCTTGAGGCGGAAAGGATTGGGGCGAAATGGACGGCCTCCCCATTTCTCCAAAACGAGCGCTTCGCTCGAGATATCCTCAACGTTTCTGCGCGCAGGACGCGCCATCCTCGAGCCGGAACGCAGAAAGTCGGCATTCCCATATGTTTTGTAACATTCGAGGGTCTCCAGATTGCGATATTCATCAGGGATTATGTGGAGAACGCTTCGTATGTTTGCTGGTACGAGGGAAAACGAAGGTCGTCGGGCCTCGCTATGTATCACGAATCCGAAAGGGGGGCACACTTTTCTCGAGCTTGCCCGCGCGAAACGCATGGCTTCAAAGAATGGGGCTTTACCTTGTTTTTTTGTTTTGCGAGTAAATCCGCTGGCCCACCCCCAACATGGCACCAGAGACAGATTACCATCCTAAAAGAGATCCCTCGGCCCGACCGAGCCCTTTCCCAGAACATGGCGGGAGTTGTTTCACTCACTGTCTTATGCCTCTGGGGTCTCTCGCCGAGCTCCGGGACCGTCAAAAACGATTCAGGATGACAAGCCCGTCCTGGGGAATGGGTCGTTAAGTCTGGGGGCCGACGTAATGAAAAATCATGACGTCGGTGTCTGGGTTCCTAGCCGCCTCTCGTACACCCACCTGCTCCCTCTCCGCTTTCATGCCTGGTGGCCCCCCTGTGGGGCAAAGTGGACTTCTATGACCTGCTCTGGCCGCAGCAGGTGACGAGGCTGCAGCAGACGCTGGCCTCCCTCGCCAACTTTGACAAGAGGAGCCTGGCGCCGAAAGCCCAGTCGTGGCAGCGGCGGCAGTGGTACGGTCAGGAACCGTTGCGTAGCGCGTCGCGCCGCCGGTTCTGGCCCACCACGCCTCGGCGCGACACGCTAACAACGCCGTCCAAGCCTCCAGGCGTGCACGCCCCGAGCTTTCTCCATCGCCCCGCCCTGCGGGGCGGGGCGACGCGCTATCAGCTCCGCCCTGCATGGCGTCTCGCGGGGACCGCAGCCGCGAAACGCGGAGCAGGAGCTCGTGGGCACGGGGGTGGCGGCAGGGGCCGCCGCGAAGACCGCGGCGGACCCCGCGCAGCGCAGGGGCGGCGCGCCCGAGCCCGCTGCTGGCACCGCCTCGCGGCCGCACCTGCGCCGCCTGCTTCTCCTGCGGGCTCCTCCCTTCCCCCCTCCCTCCCAGGTGCTCCAGATGTCGTAATAAAAGGGAGGGGGTCTGGACCCTCCAAGACAAGCCATTCCAGACCTCCCCCCGTGGGAGAGCCCTCCAAGACATCGCCCCCAGACCCCCCAGGCCCTCCAAGATAGCCTGGAAGAGACCCCCCCCCGAAATGAGACTCCCCTCCCTTTTATTACGAAATCTGGAGTAATCTCCTGGCTCTGGTCCGGTTTCCGCTCCAAGCGGCCTCCAGCCGGGGTGCCGTGTGCCGCGAGCCGTCAAAAGGGCGCGGCTCGCCGAAGGGCGCACGGACCTCGGCCCGCATGTGGGGGGGAGAGCGCGAAGACTCCGCCGCGCAAGTGCCAGATGCCGTCTGGACAAAAGGCGTGACACGGCATGTCACGTCGTTTCTCGGGCCAGACGAAAGGGGGGGATTGGGAAAGGGGGGGTTACGAAATTTGTTGCATGCAGCTGGTTTCGGCCTCACCGAGGGGCCCATTCCTCGATACATAGCCGCCTCCGGCGCCGGGAGGCGCCGGGAAAATCAGCTACGTGAGATGATTCTCAAACCCCCCCTTTGCTATCCCCCCTTTCGCCCGACCCGAGTTTCGTTGGCGGCGTAGCACGGCAGTTCGTCGATTGGTAGTGGGTGCTTCTGCCATCCGGCAGCGGCGCTGGGTAGATGTCTGTCCTGGTTGGGCTTCAGAGCCAGCATCATCAGCAACAGCGCAGGGGTCACCCGACTCCGCAGGGGAGTGCACGTATATATTATCTTTTCTGATCAGTTCGGCAGGTGGGTTGGTAGGGGTTGCTTCTCTTGCTCAAGAGGGCGGGGATTCACGATCTGTGGCCGGCAGGAGCCAGAGAGGCGCATGCGGGCATCGCGCTGCAGCCCACAACGTACGTCACTTCCGTAGCCTGCGTCGCCGCAGCACAAGCTGCAGTGAGGAAGTCTCCCTCCGCCGCCTGGGGTGTGTGTGTTTGGATGTTTTTCGGCTAGTGGGCTGGGCTGTAGAATTTCCTGCCAGTACGCGGCGCGGAAGCACCGTTGGACACGGCATCGCCGCTCGACCTGATTGAACTCAATCTTGGACGGTCGCGGCCGCGATCGATTCAAGATTGAACGATCGACGCGGTGTCAAAAACCTTTGCGCGTGCCGACGCCGCACGAACCTGCCGTGCCTCGCGTACAGTCCCGCGCTGGCCCGTCGGGCGTGACTGCCGGACGGCCGCGCGGATTCGTTGCCCCGCCTGTGAGAAGCTGTCAGAAGCCAGTGTCCTCGTCGTCCCAGCAGGAGCGAGCCTTAATTGCCGTACCCCAGCGCCGGCCTCGCATTTGTGACACGGCGTGGGCCCCATCAGGTTTCGACCCCTTCCCCAGGCCTCGTTCTTGAGGTCCGAATGAGCCAGGAGCAGCAAACTTTGAGACATAAGCCGCCATTGTTTTTGTTGCGACGCCCAGGCCTGAGGGTGCGAGGACTTGAAAATACAAGGGGGTCTCGACACCTTGCCCTGGGCCGAAGTTTCATCACGAGTCGTTGCTTGACGGTCTTGGAGCCCGGAGACGGACCTTGGACGCCGAAAGCTGCGAAGAATCACCGCCTCGATTGTGTCACGACGTTGGAGGCTTGGGAGCACGAGGGTGAGATGGCCAGCGGTACATAGCAACGGGCCCCGAGGAGCCCCATCGTCCTCACAGTGGTCAGTCCAGGCGAGGTCGAGGCGACCCTGAGCATGCTCACCAGTCTCCAGGCCGCGGGCCTCCAGAAGCGATACCCGAGGAGAAGGAGGAGGAGGAGCAGGAGATGGAGGAGGAGGAGGCAGAGGAGAAGGAGGAGGAGGAGGAGGAGGAGGGGAGGGGGAGGGGAGGGGGAGGGGGAGGAGGGAAGGGGAGAAGGAGGAGGAGGAGGGAGGATGAGGGAGGAGGAGGAGGAGGAGCAGCAGCAGAGCATACCCAAGGTGCATCAGCGATTTTACAGCACGCCCTCCCGCCCGAGGCTCGTCCTCACACGTCCCTACGTGCCTGTTCGTCGTAGGAGGCGCCCCCTTTGAAAGACGAGCGCCTGAAGGGCCTGCCACTGGGGACAGAGAGCCCTCTTTGAAAAGGGACTGGTTTCCGCTCTCCCCTCGCCATTCAAAAAAAGAACGGCGAAAGAGTAGATTTCAGTCGGACATGTCCCTCTACAGGAGGAGTGTTCGAAAATAGTCAAAAGTAGTCTGGATATTATTTATTGTCTAACCATGTTTGGTATGTTTGAGTATGTTTGCCATATTTTATCTGTCGTTCAAAATCCGCTTGTGCGGGGACATGCCCGACCTAAGAGTAGATCAGAAAACGTTCAATGGGGCGATGATAAAGTTCAGCGAGGTGTCCAGCCCCACCCCCGCTTTCAAAAGCAACCCTCTCTCACCCGCTCAGCACACAGTGCTACACGCCAGGCCGTTGAGATCTGGGACGCCTCGAGCGCCAACCCATTTTTTTGTTGAAGGGAGCCGCTCTTCATCCGTGCATCTGTGGCTAATTGTTCTAGCTGTGCTGCTGCTGCTGCTGCTGCTGCTGCTGCTGCTGCTGCCGCTGCCGCTGCTGTCTCGAAGCGGCGCCTCCATAGCTGTTTTGGCTCGGGCCTCAAGCTGAGCAGGCCCTTAGGCTGGCTGCCATTCGCAACCGTGACAGGGCACTGATCCCCTCTCGCCCCCGATCCGAGGGTCGTACCCATCGTGGCACGATAGGGCGCGGCGAGACCAAATGCTGACGGGGCTGCAGCATCCTACGCAGGGGTACTGCAGGGCCTGGAGGACCAGGACCGATCCCCCTGACGTAGTGCAGGCATTACTCCTGCGACCGGGAGTGCCGGGCACGATCGATTGTTGGGGCCAGCACCAGTAAACCTTGAGAGCATGATCGGCAAAATGATTGAGTCGAACAGCACCATGGCCCAAGCCATGACGCAGAGCCAAGTCCAGATGCAGGACATGGTGCACATCTTCGCGTCGAGCATGCAGGGCAGGGGTGGCCAATCTCTGGCCCAGCCTCCTTTCGCGGAGATTACCAGGTTGGTTGGCAGCTCGGCGACCGCAGCCTCGGCGGCTGCCGCTGCCACAGACGAAGTGCAGGCTCTGGCGAGCCAGACCGCGAGTCGCGCCATCACGATCCCACAAGAACCCAACACCGCACTCGACAAGGTCAGGACCAGATTCGAGGGCGGCCCGGGGAGGCATCAGAAGGTGGACGAAGAGACGAAGAGTTGGCTTTCTTTGACCAGGGCTCTGGCCGGCACCCTGCTGGTACCAGGCCTTTCGCTTCCTCGGACACCACGTTGGAGTTCGATGGGCATGGGGATGCATGTGCGGATCAGGACTTGACGGTTCAGCTCGTGATCCCCAAAAGTTCGAGCCACCGCGAGGCAATGTTCAAGTCGGGCGTGTCCCTCTACAGGAGGAGTATTCAAAAATCGTCAAAACATCGTCCGGGGACGATTTTGCCCCGAGCGTTGAATATGTTCGGGCCTTTGCTGTTTATTTTTTGTTTCGTTCGAAATCCGTCTGTAGGGGGGCACTGCCCGACCTAAGGCAATGTCCCATATTAATTGGAAGTGTCTTCTTCTCGACGCAGAGGCCATCGAGCTCGGAGTCGCCGAGCTCAAGATGGACAGCGCGAAGCAGGTGGCCCCGAAGGAAACGTTCGTCTCGATGGCGCGGCCCCTCGTCGCGGAGGCGACCCAGAAGGAGAAGGCCGCCGCGCTGGGCCTCCACGGGCCGCTTCTCGGCGCTGCCCCCGAGCAGGCCGCGGTCGAGAAGTGTTTTCGCATGGCGAAGGCAGTAACTCGGGGTCGCCAAGCTCGCGATGGGCAGCGCGAAGCAGGCGGTCCGAAAGGGAAACTTCCGCCTCGACGGCGCGGCCCCTTTCGCCGCGGGGGGCGGGTCAGGAGGGCGAGGCCGCTGCGCGCTTGGCCTCGGCGAGCCACTCAGGCCGGGCTCGAGAGGGGCCCCCCGAACCTCCTGGAGAGACCCATCGACTCCGGGGCGACAGAGGCACTCCGGCAGGTGGACCCCGCCGGCCTCCTGGACGCCGTTTGCGACAAGCTCGTGGCAGGTGAGAAGCTGGCACCGCGGGTGGCCGTGCCATCGCGGAGCAGCAGTTCTGCGACCCGGTCGCGGCAACAAAAACAGCTCCGCCCCGACCGCAGCGCCGGGGCTGGATTCAAGACGCCCCCCCCCCCAGGCCGACCGACGGCGGCCCCCGCGGAGCGGGTGGTGCTCCGATGGACAAGGACAAGGGCAAGGGCGGCAACAGGATGGGCAAGGACTTCAAGGGCAAGCGCTCCGGGGAAACCGCCCAGGGCAAACCGCCGGGCAAAGGCGTGGGCAAGCGCAGACAAGGGAAGAGGGGCAGAGGCAGAGGCAGCGGCGGGAACCGCTCAAAATGACGATGGGCGCCGATAAGGACATTCGCCGGATTGGCCGGTTGATTCGCGGCCTCGACGCCGGCGACCTTCCATCTCAATCGTGCTGGCGCCATTTTGAGAACGAAGCCCAAGTTCACAACGCGCTGGCAAAATCCA